GGGTTTTTTACCTCTTTAGACATTTGGTTTAAACAGTTTTTGGTTTTTTATTTAATTTAAAAATATTTTCTTTATATTTTATTTTGTGCACTTGTTAATGTCCTTTACTTTGTGTTGTATTACTCTTGGCTTTGGTTTTTATCGCTTACTTTTTTGGCCGCAGCTCGGGCAATTTTTTCATGTTGATGGCAGCCGAACGCCCCTTTAGCCGCCCCCTGGGAGGCGTGGCCCGCAAAGTGGGCATAATGTTTAGTGCCTTTTGTTGTAAAGAGTCTTATTTTATTTTCATTTTCTTTTCATTCCATGCTTTCTACTCTCTTTTTTCCTGTTTTTTTATATTTTTTTTGCGTCCAACTCGAGCCCATAAATTTAATGTACGAGTGTGTGTGTAATGTTCTGCAGCAGACACACATACGCAATTACATACAGCGGGAGAAATGTGTAAAAATAAAATAAATGGCATAGGAAAATGCACTGCAGTGACTTCCTAAAAATGGGAAATATCTTTTTTACCAGCCTCGTATGTAATGGCACTATAAATTCAGTTCTTTTCAAGTTTAGTTGTATAGCAATGAAGTTTTTCTTGGCCCATATCACAATTGATTACTCTGCAGCTGCATCTAAATTTGAACCGTACAACTCTATTAAAATTGGGAATTTATTCCCTGAATCGCATTAAATGAGCTGTCAGTTTTTCAATCAATTCAATGTAGTGTCAAGATACATTTTTACCATATTTCACACTCCAACTCATATTGCTATGCATTTTGATATTCATTAGCTATGACAGATAGTGTGTTCCTGCCATTCCTTTCCATACCTATTTATTTTCGTCCAGCTCTGACCTTTTCCCGCTGTTGTGGTGTGCGGATGTCAATAAAGGTCACTTTTTTGCCAGCCTCCTTCGCTTGAATATTCATAGATATGTTTTCAACACATCCTATGTGTCGCCCAATAAATTTGTTCTATAAAAGAGTATCAGACGTTGAAAGTGACGACAGACCTTAAGGATAAACACTCTATGAGGCACTTATTTTATTTATGGACGGGGGAAAGGGAGAAGCAGGCGATGAGGTTAATTTAACTGCACTGCACCCGGGCTGGGACCACGCCCACTTGGGGAGTCCTCTGCGGGTTATTGTCATTGTCCACTTTCGTTATTACTCGTAAATGGATTAATGCGCTTGGGCTAGGAGCACCGAGTCGCCGCTGCCCTCTCCTTCCTCATGACCCATGCCCCATGCCCCCTCTATGCATTCTATGCATTAAGGCTAACTCACGGTCCGTAGAGGGCATTCCATTAAAGTTGCAGTAGTTACCGACTTTAGGACATTGGCTTGGAGGTGATACCTCTACTATGTGGTTTTTATTATAAGTTCACGTCACTGTACAAATGACATATAGCCAAAACGATAAAATTTCAGTAATACCTTTTCATAAACATGATATGGTTTCACCTGTAAGGGTATTTAACCTACCTCAAGGAATATTTAAGAATATTCTATTTAACTAACTAATACATAAATTTAACTTGGTTCACACCTGGAGAGGATCTCGATGCAATGCATACATTCATTCATGTTAACTTAACATTTCCTCAGTGGGTACTTAAAATTCCCAATTAGTTCTAGCCAAAAAGTAATCACTTAGGTGCCATGGCAGCTAATAAATCAGTGGACCGGAAGTGTTTTTGGTTAAGGTGCTTACAGGAGTTACTTGGAACTATAATCCAGGATGCAATGCATCGAGATCCTCTTCAGGTACGTTCCTTATTTAGTTACTAATTAGGTATATTATATATTTTCAGGTAAGCTTAAGTGTTTAGTATATATATATATTTTTTTATTGTTAGGAAATATAATAATAATTATCCTAAATGATATTTGATTATAAGCAGTTATTTGATTCTATTGGGAATTGATAAAAAGATCAAATTTATAAACTTTTTTGTTCTGCCTGTACTTTCACACTTCATTTATCCCTGTAAACAAATTCCCCTTGGCCACTTTTGTTGTTCTCCGCTTTGTTTTTGTCACTCTTGAGCTTGTTTCTTTGGTTTTTCCCCTGTTATTGTTGTCATCGTTACCTTCCTCAGGCTGCTGCTTCTATCTTTCCCTTGCTTTCTTCGGGTTTGTTGTTATTATTCTTTTTTTTTTTTTTTGATTAGAAAGCCAGGACTTGAAAGAGGGGAGGGCGGTGAAAGCGTGACGGCATAGAAAGTGTTGAAAGATATTTTTTGAAGGCGTCAAACGCTCGTAGCGAAACACAATGCAAATCCGAATCCTTCGCCTCCTCGTCCTGTTCCTTTGTACGTGATTTCTTTGGGCAGACAAAAGGATGCGAACCGACAGGAAGAACAGCAAAATAATAAAGAAGAGTTAATTAGAAAAATGCTTTGGTCGTGTGGTTTTTATCATAAAGAGAGAAAAGGCCAGGCGAAATGATGGCAATCATAATGATTGTGTGGGGTAAATAGTTGCTTAATTTTGCAAGAAATAATATGAACTGTGAATAAAAGGGGATGTATGCTTTTTAGTTTATGATTTTATTTTAGTATTTATGTGTTATTTTCTCCCCTGAGCCCCTTTCGATTCTGAAATGTTTTTGCAGCGGCCACAGATACGGCGGTTCATTGTCTCACTTTGCTTGTTTTGACACTGTGTAGTTCTATTGTTGTTTTCCCGGCGATAAGTGCCAAAATGCTACCGCGCACTCACTCACTCACTTACTTACCTACTTACTCACCTACTTACCTACCTACTTACTTACCCAGTTAGTAACTTACTTAGTGGGGCTTATGGCCAAATAAGTTATTGTTATGAAAATGCCAAGACAAAAGGACGAAGGACGAAAGAAAGGAATGCAAGCGAATTAATTTATGTTGGCAGAAGGCGAAAGGAACAATACAGCGAAAAGGGGGCGGGGCAAGGACATTAACCAAGTTGACAGGGAATTAGTGGAGCACATTTTTCAGCCCTGCAAGAAGATGACAGCCGTGAAAGGTGAGGGAGGACCTCCTCTACATTAAAGAGTTTCGCAAATTATACAAGAAATTCCTAATACACATAAGCTTTATACAATCTCAACTTTAATGTTAAAATTAAAAAGTATTTTATAAACAACGTATTTTCTTTTAAAAATGGGTGCAAATGCACCATGCACCTTTCCCATCATCCCTCCCTATAAATGATGTCAAAGAAACTTATTCATTTCCATAGCTTTCTCTCATTGAAAGGAAAAAAATCACTTAAGTGCGTCCCAAGAAAAGGAAATAAACGTTGGGATCCGGAGCGGGCTAAAATAAAAGCCAGAAGATTTTAACCCAGTTACTTTTCCTAATTAGTCGCTGCTTTGCCAATTTCTTTACAAATTTTTGCCATTTAGACCCCCTTCTTTGGTCCTTTTTCGTAATCTCATGCATACCAGGCGTATACTTAACACGTTTTTATGATTCACATTTTCCTGCTGTGAGTTTTGACCCGCTTTTTCTTGGTCTTAGCTGAATTTGCCATATGAATATTTACAGCCCATTTTGTTGAATAACTCAACTAGACGTCTACAAAATGTTCATAATTATTGTGCGTTGTTTTTTGTGGCCCTGACTTTTGTGTAGGGTGTTCTTTGTCGTTTCCATTTGCAGTCATAAATTAAACATAATTTAAATGCATGTGGAGCCGACGCGCACATGCTTCCTTTTTTCCATCAATTCGCAATTAGCATTCGAAATTGTTATACTTTTTGTGGCCAATTAATCGCTGTCCATTAATTGTCGTAAAATTGCCACATTAAGTCATAATACTTTTGTTTATTTGCAATTTTTTTCCAGTTAAGTTGATATCGTTTTGTGCAGCTTGGATTCCTTTTCGCTTAATTTATTAATTATTAATATAATAAATTGAATTATTAATATAAATCTTTCGATGTTTTCAGCAATGATTTTCAGTGGAATTTGCCGGGGGGCTTTTAAAATGTTATGTTTTGTTCTTATATTGGTTGGTTTTTGTTGATACTTAATTATTAAAAAAAAAGATTAAATGTAACACTTTCGGAATATTTTTGATTCGTTCAGGGATCATTTGGTTTTGTTTTCCCTCTTCGAATTTGGACCCATATCATTTTGCCGCCCCTAATTTAGCTTTTTGGTGGGAGCTTTTTTGAATTTTCTCCATTGCCAAATTGTTGCGCATTGCAATGCGTGTGACTTCGGGAGCTTGTGTGTGTGCCTGCTCCGTTTCATTTCATCTCATTCCGTTCCGCCTGTTGCCGTTCCGTTTCCCGCTCTCACTCAGCATCTCTTCGGTTTTCGATGCACTTCGTCGATTTCGTCGTTTGTCGCTCTGCTTTTCGTTTCCGTCAGTGTTGTCACTCCAAAAATGTCTAAAAAAAATATTTAGGTTCTTATAGATAAATAATAGATACATAAAGTATAAAAAAGCTAGAAATTATCATAAAGAATCTTTCAATTCTGTTGATATAGTTTTGGGTACCTATTGATCTTCCATTAAGTATAAATTAAGTATAACTTTTTTATTTTTGATATACATATAGATAATTAGGATAGATAGAAATAAAAGAAAAAAACTAAACATTTAGCTGAAGAATCCTTAAATTTAATTGATATAGTTCCATTACAAGTTCTAATCGTTAAAGTTAATTAGAGGAACAATTCCCATAAAAAAAATTTTTTTTTGCTTTAATTATTATTATGTTCATCTGTTAAAAATATTGTAGGTGGGTGGAGAACATTTCAAACTGCAATCGGTTGTATGATTTTCATGGTTGTTAGCTGGGCTATTGCAAAGATCAACTATAAACCCTTTTAAGAAACCTTCTCCGACTTGCAACCTACACAAAAATCGAAGAAGCGATGCCAAAGTGCCATCTCTGACTCAAGAGAATCGCTCGTCAGGCAGTTTTGTGGCTCGGCTCTGGGCTTTCGGCTCCTGTGTGTGTTTTTTGTGTTTTGCTGGCCATTTTTGTTGGGCTGGCTCTGGCCCATTGGTGTTGCCTCAGTCACCGCATTCGGTTCGTTCTGCTTTCGCCCTCTGCCGCCTCGTGCACGCGCGAAAAATTCCGAAAAAAAACAAGAAAAAATAAAGAAATTCGAAGACATCCGTACTCACGCCACGAGACAACAGACCCACAGTATAAATACAAATAAAAACAAACGAAAGACAAACTATTAGCCATATCGGAGGAGAAACAAATTCGTTTATTGTAAATAAAATGTGTCACGAAAGCGCCAGCCCTGAAATAGTGGACTCTCGAGCGAGCCAATTGAGGTTCCAATTAAATTTTGGTTATAACCGAAAATAAATAGAAATTTTCAGAGCACGAGCAACAGTTCCAAGTGGGTAAAATCAAGTGGGTGGTGGGTTGGGGCTGTAGGTCGGTCGTTCGCTCGGCTTGTAGGGGTGTTTAGTTTCGGGGATTGTAGTAATCCAGAGTTACTAGGGCCAAAAAGGTGCCAGAAAATGATTAAACCTCTCAGAAGTGCTAATATCTGAAGTGAGACTGAGAAATGTGCGAAATGAAGATGGCATTGGGGTCTTATAATGTACGAACAGTTATGAAGAGCCCAAGTTTCATATTTCTGATACCAATCACATTAATATTAGTCACATTTATAGCCATGTCGTAAAGAACTAATCATGGGAAAACAAATACAAATACAACTGGAGAAGTATAATTGTTTATGATAGGCAAATAAAGTTGGTAAGCCAGCTGAAAATATATATTCATTTATTTAACAGTAGCTTATCGGAATGTAAAAATAAAATATTAAGAATCTTATCTTCTAAAAACAGAGTCATATTAAAGAATTTATAGTTAGATCTATGAATTTAATGAGAGAACAAAATATTAGATGATTAAAATGTGATATTATAAAATATAAATGTCTACCAATTTGTTAAAAAAGGATTCCATGAAAAAAGAAAATAAATTAAAACTTGAATAAGAATTTACCCTTAGTAACTAAAGTGTTAGATCTATGAATTCAATTATGAGAAAGCACAATGTATGAGGAAATTTAAATATCTAGGTCAATTTTCTAGAGAAACATGTTTGATTTAGATGAAATACCTTCATAACCAAAAGTTATATATTTATGAATTCAATTAGGGGAGAACGAAACACCAGAATTTCAAGATTTAAAATTAGAAAATTTGAATATCTAGGCCAATTTGTTAGCTTTTTAAGTATAGACAAAGACGATTATTTATTAAGTCTTTGTGTTTGCGGCAGACGGGGGAATTAGATTGATTGAGAAAGCCGAAAGGAGGACAGCTTCTTGTCACAACTTTCCATGAAAATGCTGGCTTTCTGCTGTCCCTTTCCCTCTGCCAGGTGCAATGCGTGGAAATTGTGGGTGGCGATGGGTGGCGGGGGGTGGAAATAGGAGTGGGTGGGGATGGGCGGAAAGAGGTTTAGAGAGGCCCCGAGGCTTCGGCTTCGTTCTTCGCTCACCAAGTGCCGCCGTTGCGCTTGACACGTTTTTTTCTCTCTTGTTTTCCTTGTGCAGCCTCAGGTTTTCCACATCGCCCAGGAAAAACCACTCCATGTGTGCGTACATGTGTGTATGTGTCACTTTGTTGTGTTTATGTTTTATTTTCATTTCGTGTTTCTTTTAATTGCCAACTGCCTAGTGAGCGCGTCCTTGAGCCCACTCTCCCACCCCCCATTCACCCATTTTTCACTCTATATTTAAACGCATCTCTCAATGATTTCGCCCCCCTAACTAGCTGCAGTTGCCAAAAGCAAAAAAAACAAAAAAAGCAAAATAAACACTCAAAATTAAAGAGAATATATGGGCTCTATGTGGGAGATTCTTTGTGAAAATCAACTAGAGATGCTCCCATCGTTAATCAACGATTTTCATTATGCCAAAGAGCCCCATTCATCCCATGAAATATGAGCAGTTGAACAGTAAAATCTCAAAAATACTTGTCTTTAGCTTCGCAGAATTCTTCTGAAAATTTTACAAAATCCACAAATTTTGTTGTTTTTATATTAAACTTGATCTTTTTCCGGAAAGTCTTAGATGTTACTCATTATTCATGATAAAATGATTCTATAATGATTCTATGCAGAATTCTAGGAAATTTCTAAAAAGCATAAAGCATCGGTAAATTTATTGTGTATGATTTTGTTTTTCAGAACTTGGTATATTAGCTCAAGGTTTTTATACTAAATTTGATATTTTTCTGGAAAATCATGAATGTAACTCATGGTTCCTGATAAAATTCTTCTATAAATGCTCAAAAATAATTGTCTTCAGTAATGCAGAATTCTAGGAAAGTTCATTGCTAATATTTATAATATTTCGCCGAAATATGTGGTTTGGTTTTTTTAAATTTTGATTAGTATTTTAGCTTTATGTCTCTATATTAAATTTTGGCATTCTTCCGTAAAGTCAAAAATGTTACTCATGATTCCTGATAAATTGCTTCTATATTTTGGCAATAAAAAGTAATAGCTTCTTATCAGCGTTGTCTCTCCTTTGGGCAATTTACTGTATAGAATGTAGTATATGAATCGGCATTTGCTGAATGGCGTGCGCTGAATTGATGTGAATTCAATTAAAACAGTCGCCGTCTGTGTTTCCAAAGGGGAGCAGAGGTTAGCGGGGAAATAAATAGAAATATATAGAATAAAAACAAAATCGAATGAATGAAAACAACTGAATAGACTGTTATCGGATTGATCTGATGTGATCTAGATTGGTTTTATATTCTTTGTGGGCAGTCATTTTTAATTACTTTTTATATCTTCTCAAGTGCATCTGAAAATGGTACAAATCTTGGTCTTACATGGCGTATGCTTAATTTTTCAGCGGAGTATCTGGGCATATTGCGTATACGTAATGGTTGTCTGTTTTATAAAACTCCACAAGAGCACCGCTTTAAAAATTCTGGCACAGCCAACTTGACCTTCCCCTTTCTCAATGCTTCGCCCCCAATTTTCCACCCGACCCATGTCCTTTTCCCCATTTCTTCATTGATTATTCGAATTTGAAGTGCAGTCGTGCGGCTCAAACAAAACTCGAGCAAATTCATAATGTGCATGGCGAGTAGGAATAAAAAAGGAGGACGAGTTCTTGGGAGACGGCAGAACACTTTGGACACTACACGGGTCCAGTTCTCACCTAAAAAGTTTCATCATATATCCGCTGAAACATTTTATTTGTTGTTGTCCTTTCTATTCGCGGAAAATCTTGTACTTTGTGTTGTCCTTTTGGTTTTTGCTGCTGTGAAAAAAAATTGCGAAGGAATGCAATAAAACCTTGTCAACTTTTATATTGCTCTGTCGGGCAGAAGTACTTAGGGAAAGGCAGAACGGAAAGAAGATTGCTTCAAGTGATGTAAATACAAGGGGGAATTAAAGGTATCCTTAACAGCAAATATAAATCTGGAAAGAAATATCGTCTATAGATGTAAATACAAAGAAAAATTAAAGGTGTCCTTAAGCAGAAAATATAAGTTTATAAAGGAATATCAGAGCATTGACCAAGCCATAGATTTATGTGTTATATAAAGACTTTTCATATTCAAACCGATATTTGAACCCCTTGGAACTGTTGCATGCGTATATATTTTATAAATTAGGCTATGAGATCCCGGAAAATACAAAAGTAAATAAAAATCAAAACTATAAGTTAAGACCTGATCAATCAAAGTGAAAATGTGTCCGAAAACGTCGAAAACCACGCCGCTCCTGCTGATTGCCGGCATTTGTTTTGTGATCATCCTGGTCGGGATCACCGGAATAACCCTGATCAACAACATTAACCTATCGAATATCATTCGATTGAACGAGAAGGTGGCCAGCGATAGTGTTAGCAACAACGAGAATCAGATCAAGGAGCTGAACTATGTGAACAATCATCCGCGGAATGTGTATCTAAAGTTGAATGGCAGCAGTGGGGATTCGGAGGAGGAGAAGATGCAGAAGGAGCAGGAGCTGCAGGAGCAGTTGGAATTGCCCATGATATCCGCTGTTATTGGTGGCAGAAAGCTGAAAGTCCGGGATAATCAATTGAAGGAGTCGTCGGAAGCCATTTCCGAACAGCCATCTCCTGCTCCAGCTTTGCCCTCTCACCCTTCTTCCGGAGATCTGACATCCCGGCCCTCTTCCGGAGATCCTTCACCCCTGCCCACTTCCGGTGAGCCCACCATATCGCCACCATCCTACGCGGTCGAGGACGAGCACTCTCCACCTTTGCCCTTCGGCGGGGTCAAGTACAACGCCTCCAGCGGATTGATTGATTACGAAAAGCGAAACCAAGTCGTCAAGGTGAGTCAAGGGTTAAGGGCTGTCTGCTGCCCGCTGCCTGCTGCCCACCTGACGGGTTAAACGGCGCTGTTAAAGGTGTGAAGCCCAAATTGGAGTATCCGTTTCGGACCTTTATTATGGCTTAAGTTTTCATTAAATGCCCCACTAGATAGTTGGAAAAATAAATTAAAGAGCAAACTTAATATTATATGAGTAAGGAAGAAAAAAATACAATTTGTCGCAAATGATTGGAATATTTCATTTTCATGGATGGAGTATAACAATTTATATTGATTTTAGCAAGACACTCGACCAAGTGTTCTGCAATTTCTTGGAAAGTAACAAACACTATGTGGTATTTTCACCCCATTCTCAACACTGGAAAGATTTCCCAGCAATGAAGTGGGGGTAGAAAATACCAAGATAATGTTCGACTCACAGATAAATGGACAGCGGTGTTATTGAGCCGGTTTGTGAAACACCAGGGTGACGTTAAACAAGCACGTGACAACAAGAAAAGGAGGAAAAAATAAACTAGAGGAGGAGGTGTCAAGTTCCCCGACAGCAGCCCCCTCGTAAAGCGCACCTTCGAAGCCCCTGACTAACCCCCTTTTAAAGCCGCCTAAAACGCCCAACTTATCCGCTAGTGAATGTGATCTAAATCTTGGCGTTTATTACGCTCACTTGGCTCCTTCTCTTGTACAATTGCCATTACGTGGTTGGCTATAGTTGCCCCCCTTCGTTTTGGCGCAGTGGCAGGGGCGTCGCAAGGGGGAGGTCCTGTGCCAATTGCTTTACGCTTTAACGGCTCAAAAGCCCGTGTCAACTGGAAGTAGATACGTATAGAACGTGGAAAAGCGACGACCTTGACTAAGGCGATGCGCCTAAACAAAATGCAGTTGAAAATACACTGTCAAAAGGGAGGGGGACAAGAGTGAGATATACCACATTTAAGGAATAAGTACTCCAGTGTGAACAAGTATAATAGATGCTAACAAATTTCAATTGAAAATATACTAAAGAACTGTAATGTTGGAAAAGTATTCAAAATTCTAACAATATGCTGTTGAAAATACACTGCAAAAAGGTGGGAGTCACAGGAGTGACATATATCACATTTAAGGAATAAACACTCTTGTGTTAGAAAAGTATAATAAATACTAAACTGTGTTCTTTAAATAGGCAATACAAATAAAAAATGCTAGGTCTTATAAAGACATAAATATTTTTGTGCAGTGTTGACACTTTTTAATTCCATTTGAAAAAGAATAATTAAAATACCTCAACGAAAAAAGACATTTTAAGAACCTCTGAGCTATTTAATGTTATTTAAACCGCTTAAAGTGTTGGGAAATTCAAGTTTTCTTAAAATTCAACTGCAAAATAAGACTAGAATCTATTTTAACCTTAAATTTAAAGCACGCTTTAGGAATGCCAATCAAACTGAATAGGATTTAGTTGTGTGGATAACAAAACCCGAGGACAGCTTGATTAATTTGAGCGAGAACTTGAACCCAGATTGCATTTTATTGACTTAAATTTCCATTTACCTGCTGGAGATTGATATACATACCTCAATCACGGGGACAATGATTTCCATTTGCGAGGGGATGCAAATACTGTAGGTGAACGAATGTGTGATTACGATTTACGTGGAAAATCTGAAAGCCGAGAGGGGTGAAATACAAATGAAGACATTTATATATGACAAGGGTAGCTTAAGAATTGCAATTTTCATTGCTGATACAAGGGGGCATCAGAGCGGAAAATGTGAGGGAAACAATCTGTTGCAATTTAACTTTCTTGTTCTTGTTGGGCTACTTCATCGCCCTGTTTTCCTCTAATGTTTTATTCATTGTTCTTTTCCGATTATTTCTCATTGCAGGTGAGTTAACTTGGAATTGATGATACAGCTTTGTGATGGGGCAAATGGAAAGCTTAAAGATATGTATAACTAAGGCTGGCTAATATTGATGGCTGAGTATGTTTTACCTATTGGATTGTTCAATACTGAACTTTATACAATTACAAGTGTATATAACCCCTGAGAAGGTATACCATTCGTAATTTTTTTGAGAAACTCGTCGTGTTTACTTCCCATAAGTAATTTATGTGGATTCGAGTGGCTTTATAAATAACTTATTTGATAATCATATTAAAATATTTTTTTTAAGGCAAAAAAGAAGCCCTAATAATATTTCAAGTTCAGAATTCCCTCTTGAAAAGCCTTAGCATTGGGTAGAATTTCCATCGGTGGCGATTTTCCCGCCATTTGTTTTCCTTTTCCCTTCATTATTTCCATTGTTCACTTGGCTTGTTTTTCCCCTTTTTGTGCTGCCTTGTTTTGCTTTTCATGTTCTACACATGTCGGCAGCTAATAATCGAATTGTGTTCAGCCATTTGTCCGCCCCTCTTTGCTAATCTCCGCCCCCCAAAGACCACCCATCCGCCGCCCCTCGAGTTTTTCCACCCAGTTTGTCCATGCAAATTACAACGGGAATCGAAATGAAAAACGGGCGCTGGCGAGGGGGTGGGGGTGGGAAAAGCGCGGCGAGCGAATCGAACGAAGCATTGAAAAGCCAAACGCAGACAACTGAGCCACTTGTCCAAGGTGAAAGTAAGCGAGGAGGAAAGCTGGGGAAATGGGAAAAGCGGCGTGGCATTTTGGGGGACAACATTGCGTAGCATTGACCAATTCAGCTGGCCGCCAAAAATCGCCGGGCCAAGTGGAAAACCAATAGAGGAGAAAAAAACACCAGAATCCGCACAGTGGAAAGGAAATGGGTTAAAATTGTGAACCTTTTTAAAAAGGATAATTTTAATGTATATCATTAGAGAATTTAACCACAAACTCAGAGAGGTATCACACTTTGAAACCGGGGTCCAATAACAGAAGTTATGAAATCTGGAAGTGCAGTTTTAGGTTCCCATTCTGAAACCCATTTGAAATACGGAAAAATCGAACATGAAAATGGGTTAAAATTTGGACCCTTCTCTAAAAGAATAATTTAAATGTATATCATTTTAAAATTCAATTACAAACTCATAGAGGTATCACACTTTAAAATCTGGGTCCAATAACAGAAGTTATGAAATCTAGAAGTGCAGTTTTAGCTTCCCATTTCGAAAACCATTTGAAATACGGAAAAATCGGACATGAAAATGGGTTAAAATTTTGACCCTCTTTAAAAAGGATAATTTTAATGTATATCATTAGAGAATTCATTTACAAACTCAAAGAGGTATCACACTTCGAAATCGGGGTCCAATAACAGAAGTTATGAAACATGGAAGTGCAGTTTTAGGTTCCCATTTTGAAACCCATTTGAAATACGGAAAAATCGAACATGAAAATGGGTTAAAATTTGGACCCTCCTTAAAAAGAATAATTTAAATGTATATCATTAGCAAATTCAATTACAAACTCATAGAGGTATCACACTTCGAAATCGGGGTCCAATAACAGAAGTTATGAAATCTGGAAGTGCAGTTTTAGGTTCCCATTCTGAAACCCATTTAAAATACGGAAAAATTGAACATGAAAATGGGTTAAAATTGTGACCCTCTTTAAAAAGGATAATTTTAATGTATATCATTGGAGAATTCATTTACAAACTCAAAGAGGTATCACACTTCGAAATCGGGGTCCAATAACAGAAGTTATGAAACATGGAATTGCAGTTTTAGGTTCCCATTCCGAAATCCATTTGAAATACGAAAAAATCGAACATGAAAATGGGTTAAAATTTGGACCCTCTTTAAAAGAGAAAATTTAAATGTATAACATTAGAAAATTCAACTACAAACTCAAAGGTATCACACTTTAAAATCGGGGTCCAATTACAGAAGTTATGAAATCTGGAAGTGCAGTTTTAAGTTCTCATTCCGAAAACCTTTTAAAATACGGAAAAATCATTCTTGAAAATGGTTAGAATTTTGACCCTCTTAAAAATATCATGTCCTCTCTCTGTGTGTATGAACACGGGACCTCTGCTTGTTGCAGCACTTTCTTATAGCTTTTTGACCACTGTGCGGTCATCAGTTGGACGAAAAGACCAAATGACAACAGCAAACAGCAGTGCGCGCTGACACTAACCCAGTTTTCTTTCTTTTTTGTTGTCCTTCAATCGGATCAGTGGCATTGGTATGGGTATTTGTGTGTATTTGACCGATGGCCATGTGTTGGGGCATTTTGACCGTTTCGTTTTGACCAGTATCATTGTCAATAGCACAGGGTCAGCAAGGGGTTAAAGCGGCTAGTTAAGGGAAGAAAAGCGGAGGAAAAGTGCAAAACACTTTGAAATTTCGCAACGTAAGCGGGAATTAGAGCTAGAGTAGAAATGGGAGAAACGAGAATCATAGTTATTTTCTTGGAAACTCTTATCATTTTACCGAACAATACAAATATTCGCTCATGTTTTCTTCTGCCGTTGCATTCAATTACCCAGCCATGTTTTTATTTTCACATTTTTTTTTTATCATTTAATCTCTGTTCTGTAATTTCCTTGGGCAAAACTTTAGTTCATATTTTGGCCTGGGGCCACGCCCACTCCCCAAAAACTGCCCCACAGTCGCAGCAGCCGCCGGCACCTAAATGCAAATAGTTAGATTGTTTTCCCAAAAATATCCAGTGGCGATTAAAGGACGGCCGGTATGCTGGGCTAAGAGTTTCTTATTGGGAAATATAGATGTAAAAAATACTAAATATTATTTTAGGGAATATTGAAGATGTGATTTTTAGAAGAAGTGGTCACTGTATGAGAGAGTTTTTGATATATTTAAAATGTTTTTTTTATTGCTAAGAAAACATGTACCTAAAATGTACCATAACATGTAAGCTTGAAATATCTTTCCAAATATTTAAAAAAAAATCATTAAGAAGTGCTAGTATTTTGGGGTCAAAACCCCCATGTAACCCATTTAACGCGTTTCCCTATGGTGCTCCTAAAATCTTTTAAGATTCTAGGGTACTTATAAGATCGAGTCAGTTGAAGTGCTGTGATTTGGCTAAATATATTCTCTAAGATTAAGCGACAGAGGCGAAGTGAAAGGGAAAACTAGATTGCAGGGGGAAAGTTGGGAAGAAAAGCTCTCGCCGCGTCTCTTGCATTATTTTATGGCCTCAAGCAAATGATTTTTCTTTGCCAGAGTTTCTGGTTAAACTTTTTCGCTGCCAAGGAAGTTGGGATGTTGTTTTTTCCTTCTATCTTTTTTTCGGTGTGTGAGCGTGCATATTTTTGCAAACAATTTTCAACTTTTACTCCTTTATGGTATTTTTCGGTATTTTTGTTGTAGAGTCCTTAACTCCCGCTTTGTTCCCCTTTGTTGGGCTAAAAACTTTGTATTCGCAAAAGTTGCATTGAAAATATTTTGGATTATTCAATTATGGGGAGCTAAAGATGATGCAGCCCCGCATTTTCCGTATTCCATCCGCTTGTATCACTCTCTCTTTCTTTCTCTCTGGTTTTTGCAATTTGAACTTTTCATTTTTTGGCTGTAAAGATTGCGCTCGTAAATCGCCCAGTTCTCCGGGGACTGTCATTAAAGTTAGATGGAAAAGGACGAATGCGAATACGAAGAGGGCGACGGGTACTGGAGAAGGGAAAAATCGGAACAGAGCAAGCGATACTGGTGGGGAACGAGAAGGATATAGCTTGTTCTGTGCGGGGCTTTTAAAATGAGAACACGACTGAAATGAAATGCCATCAAGTGAATGACGAAAGTCACGTGCCAGCGGCTGACGGAAAACAATTCCAGCGAGTGCCAACATTCAGCTGTGGCATGCCTCAAACTCAAGCGCAAAACTAGAAGTGTGCGACAGCCTACACTGCGCGAAATTCGGGGCACATCGTCACAGTGAACAGTGAAAACAAATCAAATTTTTCAGACTTCAATTGGCGCTAAAGCAGCAAAAACAATACAAATGCATTGTAATACTAAATACTTTCATAAACATTCAACTGAAAAAAGTAATTGTCAGCGTTAATTAATGAGTTTTAAAAAATCGTGTCCTAATTTTAAAATAAAACATGTTATTTAAAAAAAATTACAGACTAAACAAAACCTTGTAATTCATTGTGAGACCTATAACTATCGCTGAAAGTACTCTCAAATTGCTGTTTTAAGCACCTTACATAGGTATATATTTTCGGTGCAGGATTTTGTCACCTGCCGTCTGGGATGTGGACAGATTGTGACATATGACGAGTGTCTACCACTCGCTACCTGCCTCTCACTCTGCGTTCCCCATCCCTACAACTCGCTCCCTTGCTGCCATGTTGGGCCATTCCATTGCGGAAATTATGTTCCAGCATACCAATATACAAAAACACATACGTTGAAGTACAGGAGGTATTTCCTTTAATGGAAAAAGTAGCACCCTTTTTTAAACCAATTTGCAATACAGAAAATAAAACCCACTTTACATGCTTAGTTAAATAGAAATGGAGAAATCACAAGGGTTTTGTTATCACTCGTAAAGGTGTCTTAAAGTATGCAACAATAAATTTTTAGAATGCTCAAAAGTATTCCCTGCATACTTTTAGACACTTTTACGAGTAATAACAAGACCCCTGTGATTTCTCCATTTCTATTTAACTACGCATGTAAAGTGGGCCTTATTTTCTGTCCACTAAATATGAGTGGTCCCTGTTTCGAGGGTTCACTGTGGCTTCACGGCGATGTCGCACTCACGCACATCCATTTGAGGCTGACATTCCTGCGCCGGTGGCACGTTTTGAGCGACGTTTGCACATTGCCAGGATATAACTTGATGCTTAATGAAGACATCCAAACACAGTCACACACAACCAACTCATCCACCCACCCACCGAAATAAAGCCAGATGGATGAGTGTGTGTTTGTGTGGGCCACAAGAATACCAAAATTATTCAATCAATCAGTCAAATCCATCAAGCAATTTCCGTAAATTAGTCGACTTGATGATTGAGATACTGTGCTCTTTTGTCAGTGCTTAGACTGCCACTTAAATTGAAAACCAGCCATGGCTTAAGGGTATATCTTTGACAATATATAACAAGAAACTGTAGTTCATTTATTGGTATTATTATTAATTGCATTTTATAATCACCAAATATATTTATAGATTTGCAAGATTTTATTTGCAAATATGCAAAATATATACCTGTACCTTTACGTTTTCCACTTTCATTTAACATTCCTGCATTTCATCCATCAATCTGAGCTGCGGCTCATTAAGTCACGCAAAATCTGAGAAGAAACAGCCGGAGGAAAGCACAAAAGTTGCTTCCGTTTCAATGCCTGTTGACCTCTGTGCTTCGTCCTTCGTCCTGCCCGCCATCCTTTATCCTGCCCCCTTTCTCACACTTTCTGCCAGCTGTTGTAATCCGTTTAAAGTGTTTTTGCGGGCTGTAAACATTTCGACTTTTAATTCACTGACAGCGGTTCTTCATTCAGTCCATCTCTCTCGTTTTTACTATATACCTTTCCCTTGCTGACCACCGGCTTTGGGGTTTTCCGGGGCTTATGGGCGCCATGGGGGCGTGGTCTCGGATAAATGGGTTTTTTTCTGTTAAGAGTGTAATTCGCAAATAAAACATTGCTAATTAGGTTGAGTACAAAACAGGCAAGGGGTAATGCAAAAATAAGAGTGCAATTTAATCAGGAAAAAATCCTTAAAAATCGATGGCAAAACTACAAATTAATATATAATTACAGCTAAATTCAATACTTAAAAAAAAGTTAACAAGTTCTATTATAGTTGGTTGAGATTTTGCGGAACTAAATAGCAAATTAATTGAAACACTTCCTATATGCTTAACCCCAACTAAGCCCCGACCTTCACCGTAAGGGCCGACCTTAACCCCTTAATAGGACCGCATTTAAGCGTTGCGTGATTTGAGCCCAAACATTTAGGGGGTTAAAGGGGTGGGTGGTTTCCAGTAGGTTATGTCAACGCGTTGGACTTTAATTAATTACCGGGAAAATTGTTAATATTTGTTTAGCCCTCACTTGCTCCTTTTCTCTCCCATTTCTCCCAGCGAAAGCAAACATGGGTATGTGGAGAAAGTAATGGGGCGGGGGCAGGGGGGTGGTCCTTGCTGAGTGCTTTGTCCTGTGGTCGTATTTTAATTTTTGCAAAAAATACCCAAATGAAAGCCACACCAAGAGCGGGAGAAAGGAGAAAGGAGAAAGAGGATGGCGCTCCAAAGTATGCAATGCCGAATTATGCTGTGTGTGAGAGCGCGTGTGTGTGTGTGAGAGCGGAAGTACATGGCAAAATGCAAAATAGCAGAGGCCACACCAATGCAAACACACACACACACGCAGAAGCGCACCCACACAGGTGCATAACCAAATACTTGCACTAAGCCAAATGGAAAAAGATTGGAGCTATATAGCCTAATTGAAAAATATCGAGTCGAATATTTAAACTACCTACAGTATTTAAATAATGAATTCCATATTAATGGAGTGTTCAACTTATTTTATATTATTTTATTTTTAATTTTTAATTTCCATTTAATAGGACATAGAACACAAAGTTCTCCTTATTAATATTATAGGAGAAATATAAGGCTAAATAAAACAAATAATCAAAATATTTTTTTCTTAGAACAAATTAGAGATTAAAATTGGAATACAAATAAGATGTTTTTTATAATCACATTTTTTCTATCGGTATATAGAATTATCTTTGAATTCTTAAATTACATTTAAGTAGGATATTTTTAATGTTCTCCTCGTTGGGAAAAATAACATTTTAGGGTACACGAAATGCGCAATAATAGTACATATATCTGTGAAACAGATTTTCCGCTGTCCATTTTATTAACATTTCTGCGGCCACCGCCAACTACGTGACTTTCCAGGTCTGTATGTGTGTGTAACTGGGCGATATTCAATTGGAAAAAAGGAAAATCAACTCAAACACACAGTCCCACTGACGTATGCAAACATTTCAAGCCGAGTTGAAAGCGAGAAACTAAATATGAAACGAATTTCCAACGAAGGCCAAATATTAAGCAGAGAGTAAATATAGAAATAACGTGAAATGTGCGCAAATCTGCATATTGTATCCATGCAAAATGATTGCGATTTGTTTGAGGGTTCTTAAACGTTAGGTGTGTTGCATACGCAAACGATTTTCAATTGCAATTTTTAAATTGAAACATCTGGCTTCTGTGGTTTAACAAAATAAATCATCGATTTTAAGGATATTAAATCTTAGTTTCGGCTTATCGCTTACATGGGAAGAAATTGTCGATGGTGAAAGCGAAAACCAATAAGTGGTCTACTATAAAGTATACTATGTATATTTGTAGAATATTTTAAATGAAATTTATCCATATCCACATAAAATATACCATATATTTACAGTACATTTATTTGAATGACCTATTGCATTATCCAACTAATTTCCAACTTCATATCTTTCAGATGATGGAGCATGCGTGGCACAACTACAAGTTGTATGCGTGGGGCAAGAACGAACTGCGTCCGCTGTCGCAGCGTCCCCATTCGGCCAGTATCTTCGGAGCCTACGATCTGGGGGCCACGATCGTCGACGGACTGGACACCCTGTACATCATGGGACTGGAGAAGGAGTATCGCGAGGGTCGCGACTGGATCGAGCGAAAGTTCTCCCTGGACAATATAAGTGCGGAGCTGAGTGTCTTCGAGACGAACATTCGATTTGTGGGTGGCATGCTGACGCTGTACGCCTTCACGGGGGATCCACTGTACAAGGAGAAGGCCCAGCACATTGCCGACAAGCTGCTGCCCGCCTTTCAAACACCCACGGGGATTCCCTACGCGCTGGTCAACACCAAGACCGGCGGGGCCAAGAACTACGGCTGGGCTTCGGGAGGCAGTTCCATCCTCTCTGAGTTCGGCACCCTGCATTTGGAGTTCGCCTACCTGAGCGACATTACCGGGAACCCACTGTACCGGGAGCGAGTACAGACCATCCGCCAGGTGCTCAAGGAGATCGAGAAACCCAAGGGCCTGTACCCCAACTTCCTCAATCCCAAGACAGGCAAATGGGGACAGCGTAAGTGTGGGGGGGTTCAGTCAGGTGTTCGGCACTTTTTTTTTAATATTAGTAGTATTATGATAATTTTTTGGACCAAGGTTAGTTATGTTACCGAAATGTTCTTGTATATAGCTAGACGTCGGAATGTAGTAGAAGTACACATTTTTCCGCGTTTCTTGACTGGTTACATTTTTCTTATTAGATTAATGATAAAATGATTTTGATTTTATGAAAGAAATTGTACCCAAATAAGTTTTACTAGAAACGAGACGTTAAAAAGGAGATTGTATATTATGTATATGATATGTTTTTTGTAGATCTTGACTGGTTCAGCCATAGACTAGTATATTTTCCTTGACCAAAATTCTAAATTGTTCTACTACCACACAGTTCACATGTCCTTGGGCGCCCTGGGCGACAGCTACTACGAGTACTTGCTGAAGGCCTGGCTGCAATCCGGCCAAACGGACGAGGAGGCCCGCGAGATGTTCGACGAGGCGATGCTGGCCATTTTGGACAAGATGGTTCGTACCAGTCCCGGCGGACTAACGTATGTCTCTGATCTCAAGTTCGATCGGCTGGAGCACAAGATGGACCATTTGGCCTGCTTCTCAGGTATGTATGCTTGCCTTAATACAACTTGAAAAGTATTTAAATCATTTGTCTTTTTTCAGGTGGCCTTTTCGCCTTGGGAGCTGCCACGCGCCAAAATGACTATACGGACAAGTACATGGAGGTGGGCAAGGGCATTACTAACACCTGCCACGAGAGCTACATTCGAGCACCCACTCAGCTGGGCCCCGAGGCCTTTCGGTGGGTTCACCTAGCACAACCCTAAATTAGCATAATGATATACTAATTCGCATCATGATCATGTAGATTCAGCGAGGCCGTGGAGGCGCGAGCACTGAGATCGCAGGAGAAGTACTACATCCTGCGGCCGGAGACCTTTGAGAGCTACTTTGTGCTGTGGCGCCTCACGCACGACCAGAAGTACCGCGACTGGGGCTGGGAGGCGGTCCTCGCCCTGGAGAAGCACTGCCGCGCAGCGCACGGATACTGTGGCCTGCGCAACGTCTACCAGCAGGAGCCGCAGAAGGACGACGTCCAGCAGAGCTTCTTCCTCGCCGAGACGCTCAAGGTGAATATTTAACTGAAAATGTCTTCAAGCTCCCATTAAACATGGAATTAATCAATTTTGGTTTCAGTACCTGTACTTGCTGTTCTCGGACGACTCGGTGCTGCCGCTGGACGAGTGGGTGTTCAACACGGAGGCCCATCCGCTGCCCATCAAGGGGGCGAATGCGTACTACAGGCAGGCCCCCGTAACGCTGCCGGCCTCGAATGCCTCGTAAACGGGCTGGTTGCTGCCTCGCTGGCTGTTCGGGCTGTCCCTAGCAATGCACCTTACTTAGCTCTCGATATTTGCATACTTATGTCGTGTACCACATCGTAACTGTTTTTTTTTGCCTTTGGTTTAAGTTTTTAGTTTAGTGATGTTTACGTGATGATGACAAGTGCGTACGAAATTTATTGCATGTTTACAACAGCCAGGCACACACAAACACGACACGAGAAACTTTCAATGTAACATATTTATAAAGCCTGCACATATATAGGAACTTAAACGGTAACGGATATATCGTAGTTTAGTCCTTAACTGTTTGCACAAGTTTCTCCGAGTCTCTCTCTCTTTTTTATTTACCCCATGGGGTATATAATAATCCAAATAGTTGACAGAGGTTGACGCTGGGGAGACCTCAATTTCCATTTAAAAGCGAAAGCGAATGATGTAGACGTAGGCAAACACTCTTGATATTAATTATGATATACGATATATGATATATGTGTAAATGTAAAACTCAGGTGTTCTTATTATGATTTACCTTGCGTTCGAACAAGGCTCTTTCTCACTAACCAGCTACGTAACTATCTCTACAAGCATTCTATGTCTCTGTGTGGATTAATGGATAGATGGCCACTTGGCGGGCATTTCGATAGATCTACTGATCTACTCTGCTGATTTCCAATTCGAATCTTTGACCACTTTGTTTTGTATATAATTTCTATTAGCTTTCCTTGCAAAATGAAGGCAGAAGAAAATCGAATTGATATTTATACAAATATATATTCTTACACAATATTGTTTACTTTGTAGCCTAAATATTTAAACGTAAATCTAATATAGAGTCTAGCTTACTTTATGTGACGAAACAAATGTAACGCGAATTACCTTAAATCCAGAACATCAAGCGAAACGAAAGCAAATGAAATATATATAAAAATATACCTAAATAAATATATATTTGTATTTAATTAAATCAAATAAAACGTAGGCAATTGTTAAAGTAAATTAATTATACGATGGCACGAGCCGAGCGAATGGTAATTTAATTTTTAACAACTGTAAAGGTTTTTTATAATAATAATACCAATAATAATCATATTTATAATTCTATTTATAACTGTAATCCATAGAGTAAGCCACAAGCATCGCATGATAAATGAAATATAGAAGTTATTTAATTGTTTTTTTTTTAACCTACGCAGCTTGTGCTGTGTAAAGTGATTTAACAAAAGTAAAAATAACATAAACATAAGCTAAGACCCTAATGTAAAACCGAAGAATTTTAAAGAAACATTTTAAGGAAATAAAATAATATCAAATTTAATTAAAACGAAAAACCAGAAAAGCTAAAAAACGCAAGCTAAAGGCTAAAAATAATAGAACGCTAAAGAAAAGTAAGTCGACACTAACTAAGCGTAAATTTAGTCCTTAGAGCCAACTTTTTTTGTTTAGATCAAATTAGAATTGAGGCCAATAGCGAGATATATGATGTGTCCGATGGCGGAGCATAAAAATAGATTTCAATGGCAGTTTGTAAATGCATCACACACAATGCGTTCATCAACGGCAGTCCCTGAGCTGCTGGCGATGAAAATTGTATTTTGCCTAAATCATAAGTCTAATAAAGATCTAATAATTAACTTATGTTTTGCAATTTGTAATTGCATAGTATTTTGGGAACTTTAAGGATGTTGGTTTCAGAAGGGGCACCAAAAAATCCATTTGAATACTTAATAGAAAATATACAATCTTGAAAATGCATTGTTTTTTCAGCTTTCCTTTCTTTCTGTATATATTTTTATCTCGCAGCACATTGATGGCTCAGTGATGTTGTGTCTGACTATAAACAAGTACCCCCATCCCCCATCGATTCCACTTTCAGATATGTTTATGTATCTGCCACACAAGCCACTTCGCAAGCAGTTGTCGAGCTCAATTAATGAGCAGCCCACTTAAACTGAATGTGCGTATACTTAATGAAGAAACTTGCACAAAAGGCGAGCACAAAGCACGATGTGAGGTTAACAACATTCGCCGGCGATTCGAGAACCCGGAAAGGGAGTGCGTCGCGACAGATACACCCTTCTAGCCCGTTTCATTAACCCCTTACAGGCGGATTGTTAAAAAGCAACACATAAAATAAAACAAAGAATAATAAATAGCAAGGTATTAAGGTATTTTAATGAAAATATATTAAAAATATGCTACATCGTCATGGTTTATAAATTTTTATAAATTATAATTTACAAATTTAATGATAGGTTACTGTTTTTTTTTTAATTTAAAGAAACTTTTTTGTAAAGTCTATCAATATAGCATTTTTTACTCAGTGGGTTAACATCGATTGACGTGCAAAGTCCGACTTATGCCAGCATAAGATGCCTTGGAGGGGAAATACAGCTGGGAAGCGAGTGCGAACAAAGCATAACCATAAAATGGAGGAGTGCCACCGACGATTGCAATCGCCACCCACCATTCACCCACCCACCGCCCACCACCCAAATTCAAACAGAGAGCAGCCATACGGGAGAATACACCTAAAGAAATCTAGTTTCATTTAGTCAGCTCAGAATTAAAATGAAAAATATTTTTTTATTGTTAAATATATTCATTTCAAAAGCAGACTGCTTGTATCTCAAATGTATCTCAAACTCAAACCAATTGAAATAGTGATATGATGTGGCAAGTAATAGACTCTTAAAGCTCAGCTACCATTCTGCAAGTCATTTGAAAATTAAAAATAAAAAGAAAGTTTATTAATTATTCATTAAAAAATGTAGTTTTGAATCACCTTTTTGCAAACCATACAATCGTGGGGTTTCTGTGAAAACAAATAACTGAAAACTATTTCTCTAGGTGCACCTTACCGGTCGTGTTGCCTCTCTTTCGCTCCCTATCTCTTTGTGCTCTCTTTTTCTTTGTTGACTAGACGAGCCCGCCAGACCAGCTTTGGGTGTGTGCGTGAGCTGTGTGCTGCGTGCTGCATGGCAATGCCGTGGATGGCACTGTTGTTGTAACTCCGAGTTGTTGTCATACCCTAGGATTTTCGAAAAGTCACACAAGTGGTCGGAAAAAGGTTTTGTCAACCAATATTTACCCACCCAAAAAGTTCAAACAATTTAAAATGTATTATTCTAAAAATACAAATGCGTTGGCATAACATTTATTTGGCCTGGTGCTTTAGCTTGCCCTTCTATTTAGTTTTTATGGATTGCTTTAAGCATTACATTTTAAACAAAATGGTAACCATACAATTTTTAACATATTCTTTGATTTTAGTCAAGTTCAGTAATTAATGAGTGAGTGTGATTTAAGACAGTAGTTTTTTATGATATTGAAAATTACAAAATATTTGAGGTTATCCTTACCTTTTAATTTGAAATATTTATATTGATCCCAAGCAGCAGGGGTGAAATCTGTCAAACTCTAACCTTTGCGAAAATTACATACTCACAGGTAGACTTTGAATTTCGTTTCTCAAGAGGTGGTGTGAAAAACGTAAAAAATATAGTGAAATTTAAAATTGCTATACTTCTTTGTTGCAGGGAATTCGCCGGTCGCCTCAGTTCGCTGAGAAGGTTCTACTCTTTGTGCTTGGCTTGTTTTTGTTTTTTGTTTTGGTCGTTGACGTTGCCGCTTCGCTTCTAGCAATCCGCACAGTTCGCATCGAGACTCCGAGCAGAGCGGCAGGCACAGGCAGAGTTGCAGTTGCAGATACAGATACAGATAGAGATACAGATACAGCGGATCGAGACCAGATACACAGGCTATACTGAGGCTACTTAAGAACCCATCCCCAGTGAAGAAAACCAAAGGAAGAGCAGTGTGAACATGCCGTTCCCCATCCATCCGCCCAAGCAGATGCCCTGCCCCCACTGGCAGCACTTCCCCATCAGTCCCGTGGACAGCAAGCCCAATCCCTTTGACTCCGCGGGCGGAGCGGCGGCAGCGCCCACCCAGGTCAGCATGGGGGTCAACAAGCCCCCGGAGCCGCTATCCTATAGCTACTGCTTACAGTGTAAGGCCTCCGGTAAGGAGTCATCGAACACAGTCGACAGGGAGTAAGTTCTACCCAAAAACTTTGGAGGAGACCCTTTCAACCCAACCAATCGGCCATCGCCTGTAATCAGCCACTTCAGCAGAGGACACACACTTGGAAAGCCCGTTAAAAAGAAAACAATCACCGAAAGCGCAGAACAAAGTTTTGATTTCAAGAGATAAACCCCATTTTCCATTTAAAAATCAAAGATAACTATAACGCATCCCAACAAACCATCCTTTTTTTTCTGTGCTGTTATTATATCATTTGGAAATGGATGCGATCCTTAAAGCATGCTTACATACCTAGAACTGATATTTGAAAACAATGAGCTATACAAAAGTGAAGATGCAGTCAGACAACCCATAATATTTTCTGTGCTTTTGCAATTTCACTTTAAAATAGTTGGTCTACTAAAAGCAGGTCCACGTAAAAGTAATACTTTTCAACTCGCAATAGATATGAAATGAGAAATTAGAGCTATTTGTACTGGAATATCAGGTCCAAAGGCAGCCCAATTTCTTCCTGTGTTGTTATTATTTAACCTAACCTAAGCACATGTTCCATTTATTTTTGCTGTTTTTTTTGCTATAATTAAGCTAAGCATTTTGTACGTATTTTATTTGTATTTAGAGCTAAAGACTACAGTTTATACGGCTTATGAATTTATGAATTTTTGATATATTTGTATAAGAGAGCGCCAATAAACGCACGACGCATTTAAAAAACGAGTTCTACACAAATACAGAAGCACTCCCCATATACGCACGCCATATGCTGGCTGTTTTTTGATTCCAAACTCAGACTGTTGGTCTGTTTTCGTTTTCAGTTTCGTCTCGTTTGGATTTTTATGTTTATCAAATTTTCCAAGGTCACCTACGAGGCGTCAAACGAAAAAAAGGTGCGATAAGAGCGACTTGAGATTTCAGTTTTCGATTTTGAAAATTCGGAAATGGTCGGGTGATTTTTCCATCGCCTGTCCTACAAGCAAGTTCAACAAACCGTTGAAACTAAGGCGATGAGAGTGAAAAACGAAAGCGGATGAATGAAGGGTGTTGGGTGGGGGTGGGCGATTAATTGCATTCGCTCGCCGCTGCAAAATAATCAAACACAGTTCTCAGAGAATTCGTATTTATGTATGCTAAGATTGGCATACACTGAAAAACAAGAATAAATGCATAAAGGAGCCAATGCTAGCTAAGCACAAATCTTTTTTATTATATTATTTAGATGATATTTCATTCCCAAAAAATAGGTTTGCTTGCATAATGAGAATCATAAATGAGATACAATTGTTTTTTTCCTTGCCGGTGTCAATTTGTTTATATAAGGACGTGCACACATGTTTGTACTATATTTAACCTTATCGCGTGAGTCTGCGGGTGCGTGTGCGAAAAAACTAGAAAGTACTGACAATCGAATCGTTCGTGTTATTCGTCCCATTCGCTGATAGGTGAAATTAGAGTTTTTGAATGACACAACGTAGTATTCCATTTTCGGACTTTACAATTCGGAACTTACTTCAAAATGGTAATTTATGGCCAATGTTTTCAGGGCTTATCTCCCCGATACGGCCATTATCTGACTTTGAGTCTAGCCAACGTGCCCCCTAAAATAACCCACACAAATGAGGAGATATGAATTTATATGGTGCAGATAAAAGTAAAATCAAGCATAAATAAATATACAAAAATTAGAATCGAAGCAGAAGGTGATAAACCCTTGCATTTAAAACCTACTTTTTATATGTCTATTTTAATAATGAACAAAACGTATAAATGCGCAACTTAAAAACATTTTTTTGAAGGTTTAATCAGAAATAAAAAAAACACCTCACCCTTTACACAAACAAATTTGTTTCGAAATTGTACTTTAGATTTTTACAAAAATGTAAAATAGTTTTAGTCGAGAAAGGAATAGATACCCCTAAAAAGTTACTTGAAGTATTTGTTTAGTTGTTCTTTCAACAAGCGATCATGTAATTTTGGCTTTCAACTTCCATAAAGCTTTTGAATGTACGAGCTTCAAAGAGCTTTTTTGTTTAAATAATTTGTTTAACGGCATTCAGTGTTGTCAAATTAAGTCCTTCCCGCTAAATCTATTTTGATCTTAATTTTGAAAAATACTGTTTGGGTAAGTTAGCAAATTTGAGTAAACTGTTTTAATTCCAGGGTATTAGTAAATATTAAAATAATAATAATAGTATTTAATAAAGTAGTAGTTGATTCTGCGCATAAAAGTAGGCTGTAAATTTAAAGTGTTTTTCAGCAGGAGTAGGATCAAAGCAACTATAGTAGATTCTTTATTGGCAAACATAAATCCTACGTTTGCTCCTGAGAGTAGGTTGTATATTATTATTTTTTTCAGCAGGAGGTTCTCTATTAGCTTATCCATTTGAAAACGTAAGTCCTGTGTTTAAGCAATAAGTATTTCCAAACTTTTTTAATTTCAAACACCAGGCGAACATAAATGCTTAGCAGGTGTAAAAACGATCAACTGATTAGCTTATTCCAAGCTTACTTAGAGATGCCCTAGTGACTTCTTCCGTTTGGCAAGGCCTGAGCAAATACATAGGACTTAACTGCTACTCGTTACAGGCTCGTGACAAGATCGCGACAGGCCCGTGACAAGCTCGTGACACGTCCATGGTTGCTCATCTCTGGTCTGCGTTTGGCTCGCAACTAACGGTTCTTTGCCATGCAGATCAATTCCTATTGGTCAGTGGGGGAAGGGGAAATATGCAAAGGGCCGCCATCTTGAAAATTAACAGCTGTTTAAGTTCCCTTTTGAATATCAGCTGCCACTTGCTAAGTTTTCTGTTTGCCTGGTGTCTGAGAGCCACAAATCCAGCATTTTGACCGAAAAAATGTTACGAAGCCCTTCAATATGTTGAAGTAAATTAGCGATTTTTCAATTTCAGACACCAGGTGAACAGGAATATTCGTAGGTGACCAACGATTAGTTTTTAAGGCTTGACTAGAGGTGTGCCACTTCTAAAAATCGAAGGCCTTTTGTTGCCGACCAAGCGAGAGCCCACCCCTAGTCGGCTTACACTAAACTAACGGTGTCCTTCCATTAAAATAATATTAACGCCCAGCAGCCACCTACTACAGATTATGTTGGCCTGGTGTCAAAGATCAAGAAATTAAATTTCAGACCTCATTGAAATGTCAATTTATAGAAATCATAAAACCAAAATACCTCATTTGCTCGTCGAGAAATTGGTCAAATTGCTTGGTTTCTTAATTTCAGACACCAGGCGAACATAAACGTTTAGTAGGTGTAAAACGATCAGCTGATTAGCTTATTCCAAGCTTACTTAGAGATGCCCTAGTGATTTCTTGATTTTGGCACGGCCTAAGAAAATACATAGGACTTAACTGTTACTTCGTGCATATCGTGACAAGCTCGTGACAAGATCGCGACAAGCCCGTGACATGCTCCTGACACGGCCATGGTTGCTCATCTCTGGTCTACGTTTTGCTCACAGCTAACTGTTCCTTCCCATGGAGATCAATTCCTATTGGTCAGTGAGGGAAGGGGAAATATGTAAAGGGTCGCCATCTTGAAAATAAACAGCTGTTTAAGTTCACTTTTGGCTACCAGCTGCCACTTGCTATGATTTCTGTTTGACTGGTGTCTGACTGAAAAAATGTTACAAAGCCCTTCATTTTTTTGACGAAAAAAAAATTTATTTTAAGCCGTTTTTCAGTCGTAATTTAGTCAAATCGAGTCGCATAACAAAAAGACCGCCTGTTATGAGCAGCTAACAACCAAGGCTATCGATCCCTATTACTTTTCGGAAAATTTATTTTTTGACCAATTTTCGCATTTTTTGTAAGGAGCTTATCATCTTTTTATCGAAAAATTTTCAAAAATTAAAATTTTTCAGATTTAAATGCCAATCGATTGCGAATTTAATTACGAGCTCAACGAGGTATCACATTCCTTAATCTGACTTCATTTCGCAATTTGTCGACCAAAATACCGATTTTTTTTGTGCAAAAATAGGGAGAATTATTTTTTGGCGAAAAATACGTTATTTTTAAACCGTTTTTAGGTCGTAATTTAGTCAAATCGAGGCGCATAACAAAAAGATCGACTGTTTTGAGCAGCTTACAATCTAGACTAACGATCCTTATCACTTTAAGGGAAACTTATTTTTGGACCAATTTTCGCATTTTTTATAAGGGGTTACATCATCCATTTTTGCGAAAAGTGGTCAAAAATTAAAGTTTTTAGATTTAAATGCCAATCGATTGGGAATACATTTACGAGCTCAACGAGGTATGTCATTCCCGATTCCGACTTTAATTCGCAAAATGGTTGCCAAAAACCTAGTTTGTTTGGTTCAAAAAATAGGTAGAAGAATTTCAGACAAAAATATGCCTATTTTTTGAGGTCTTTCAATCGTAATTTGGTCAAAACGAGGCGCACAGCTGAAAGACTAACTGTTTTGAGCAGCTTACACCCTAGGCTTCCGATCCTTATCACATTCCGGGAAATTTGTTTTTTGACTAAATTTCACATTTTTCATATGGGGTTCTTTTCAGCAGGAGTAGAAGTTAGGGATGCATAATTGTTTCTTTATTTGCAAACATAAATCCTACGTTTGATCAACTACTTAAAAATATTTGCTCCTGAAAGTAGGCTGTGTTTTTTTAATATTATTTTTAGTAGAGGTAGGGACAAAGGATATCTAGTAGCTTATCTATTATCAAGCTAAAAACGGCTACATCCTTGCCAGCACAGCTGGCGAAAGCTCTCTCCCGCGCTGGAAGCTTTCGCTCCCGCTCTCTCCTTCGGCGGCATGCGCTCTCCGCAGAGGTCCTGCAACGCTACCCGTTAGCTTTTTAATCATGTGGCCGCTCTGCTCCGCCTGCACCGCCGCAGCTTCCCCCCTTCGCCGCTCGCCATCTTCGCACGCATTCGGAGCCGACGCAACAGCAGCAGCAGCAGCAGCAGCAGCGTCCGCAGCAGCGAAGTCGCAACAGCAGCCGCAGCAGCGGAGGAGCTGCAGCAGTCGCAAACTCGCAAGCAGCAGCCACAGTCGCAGTCGCAGTGCCTCCGTCGAGTTGAGTCCTAGTTCGTTTCTCACGCTTTTCCTGCACTTCCTCCTTTTTGGCTCTCGAGTTGTTTATCTAGTTTCTGTTCCCATTTCCCCACCTTCGCATTTATGTCTCTTTATTTTTGTGATTTTTTTGTTTGCCAGCGTTTTAAGCATTGGTAACGTGTCCTGATTTTGGCACAGAAACAGGAAGTTAAGACCAAGCAGTGTGTGGTACAACGGTAAATCGCAGTGTGCCAAATTGCGAATTTC